TGTTACCTGAAGAGAGCTATCCTTGACAGAACAAACAGGGCAAGGATGTGTGGGTGGCAGGAAGAACAAGATGAAGAGGAGGCTGAAGCCTAGATTACATGGTGGAGAGCAGCATTAATTACTGCAGTATCAGAGGTCATCCGTAATCCCATTGTCAGTTTTGTGCTCAGCACAATTACCGTGCTATGCTAAGCGCAGCCAGAGTAATCTCATTCCAGAAAATGAGGCACTTGGAGAAAGACAGGATTGCAGATGTCTAAAGCAGATTTGTTTTCCGCATGCCTTCAATTTTGCATCTGTTTGTTTGGATGATATTAGGTAGAGACAAATGAACGGAGAAAATGAAAGCTATATATTCATGCTGCAAAGAAGGCATGTTTCATCGTCAATAACAAGAAATCTTTCTTTCTTTTGTTTCAGAGGCATAATCCTCACATTTTCAATTTTTAAACCATTTGGAGGTTTGTTTAATTTGTGGACTGACATCAGTATAAAAGTCCAAATTAAATGTACTCAAGTAACATGTTTACCCAGTGCTTTCTGCTTATTATCTCCTACTGTAGTAATTCTTTATCTTAAATGGTTTGTCTTGCTCCTGTTAAGAGGGGGAATCAGTGACATATTCCCCCATTCTAATTTACCTCTGAAGAGATACCAGTGTAAAAGACATGGCTGACTAAAACCTTCTGTTTCCTTTTGCACAAATATTTTTGTTCAGGAGGGATTTATTGTAAAATACAAGGGTGGAAGCACAGAACTGATCTTTGCCTGCAGGGTTACTTGGTCCCCATACTGTTGGTCTACAAGTGAAATCTGGACTAATGATCATTTGCTTTATGGTGCAAAATAGTACATAACTTGTCACATCTAGTTAAGTTTGAGATTGTAAAAGAAGCCTTCAAGGTAGTTTTACAAACATGCCATCTTCATGTGAGTTGGTGGGGATTCTTTGGAGAACTGAAAAATTATAAATGTATCATTCACTTTGTGTTGTTGACTTTTCCCATCCTTCACAGGATCTATTCACAATCATGTAGTTATTGGTACACCTTTATGTTCTGTTGTCTTCAAGGACAATGGGGCATTGTGGACAAAGGCTTATGTTTGGTGAGAACAAAAGAAGCATCATTACTTTGGTACATACCAATTGTCACTGTAGGATTAAAACCAATACTGCTTGAGTTATTATTTTGCTATAATGACACTAAAATAACAGCTCCAGGTGACAAAATCTTCCTTGTCAAGGATCTCTATTATCAATGTGTCAGCCAGCTTTTTAATTGCTGGGTTTTGGTTATTTTTTTCAAGTTTCTAGCATCAAGCCTATTGTCATAACCCGGTGTGTCAGCATTATTAATAAAACCAGTTTTCTATTTAATGACTGATGTTGACCACACTGAATTGTACAGCATCACTGTAGTGATATTACTACTCCCTTGGAGACTGCAGTTTCCGAAGCTGTCATGATTTTTGTGAAATGAACTGTGGATTTAATAGAGGCAGATGTATAACAACAAAATATAATACAGCTTGTACTTGTTCTGCAAAATATGTATCTGTTTTACTTCAAAGACAATCTCTAAAAGCTGCAATTACTTCTTTCCTTCATTGTTAGTAGTCTATGGCCTATCACAGCTCTTAAGCACTAAAAGAAATAATTGATATTTTAACTTGAAGGAAAGTATTGTTTGTGTCTCAAATTGAGTATCTTGGGAAGAGGCTAGTCTGTAGCCAGTACTTTACTGATGCAAGATGTTTAATGGATCTAGAGGTGGGTTATTCAGCTGAGAGTTTTCAGGCGAACTAAATTTCGTGAGAATTCAGAGAGTAATAGCCCCATTAGAGCTTTCGTAAGGAGAAAACATGACTCACAAAGCTATTGGAGTATTTGGAATTAGCATATGGCTAAGACAGGCCCATTTGCTCTGTGGTATTTGAATATCCAAAAATGTTTTCAACAACTGATTAAAGAAAGGATATTGAAAGGTTTTCTTGTCGAATAGTATCTGATTAAAAATAAAGAACTAAAGGATGGGTAAACATGCAGTCCTAACAGTGAAAGGAGCTTACTCAAAGAATCGTGGCAAAACTTCTGCTGAAGTCCTGGGTGTTCAATAAATAAGAAAGAAAGCAAAATAGTGTGATCATTTAGGAAATGTACTTAGCATTATTAAAATGGACTGAGGAGTTTGAATCCTGAAATACAGATTGACCTGGCTGTGAAACAGAAGGTTGAAATTTGTGTGGTCAAGTTCAAAGTAAAACTACTCAAAAAAAACAAACCAAACCCCTCATGGTGCATGTGGAGGTATATTAAGTCTCTGGAAGAGATGGCCCTGGGTGAGCTTCCTCAAGGCCCATCTGCCAGGGCTGTGCTTAGGGAATTGCTCAATTCATCCGCACTGCTGTGGTCAGAGTACATTCCCAGTTCCATGTTTTGGACCTTCAAAGAGGCTTTGAGCAGGATTAAACTTTTGCTTAATTTGAATTGCTCAATTCATCTGCACTGCTGTGGTCAGAGTACATTCCCAGTTCCATGTTTTGGACCTTCAAAGAGGCTTTGAGCAGGATTAAACTTTTGCTTAATTTAAGTTTCCCATTTTATGAGAATGAGCTGATGCCCTTCAGCGAGGTGAAAAAGATGATACTCTAAAGACAGGTCTTAGCAGTGTGTGCATATATATATATATAGGTTGTAAGGTTAATATTGCTTAGAAATTATTATCCAATGTAATATTTCACATGCATCTCGTGTTGTTCTGTTTGAACTGAACGCGGGAGTGGCAAATCTTGTGTTTAACTTGCACTGAAAAACTGACAAACATGACAAACCAAAACTGGAACTGCAGTTCATATAAGCTTGTGCAATGAAATACCTGTTCCCTGAAGGTAGAGGTTTGCTTTGGATTTCAGGAATAATCCTGGTAAAGCTGAGGAAGGTAAACACTTCTGACTGTATACAGTTATAGCTGACAAATTAGAGTTAAGTGCTGTACTTGGTAATCTGACTGCCTTCAATTTAGAAAGGAAAATTCACCTGTCTTTTGTAAGGAATGCACACATATTTCAAATACTGTTTAATGCATCTCAAGCATGAGAACTAGCATGCCTTAAAATCAAAATTTTTCAGAAAGTTCTGGGCCTTAAACAGAAGCTGCCAAATCTGGGATGTCTATAGGAGATGAAGGATTGTGACATCAAATGCATGTTCTTCTTTTGAAAATTACCTGCTAAAGGAAATACCATTATTCTGGACCCCACTCAAAACTGGCCCTGATACATGCTGGGGCCCTGTCCTCATGCACTTGTTTTTCCTGTTCGGTCACTAGCACAGCTGACAGGGTCCTGACCTCATGATCCTTGCTGTGAGGAGACAGAATACAGGTTCATGCTCCATGTCAGTATTAAAGCATCTGTCAAGCCTCCATCCCACCTTTTTAACTCCTCTTGGAAGCCACCTTCTGTTTTCTCACATTTCTATTTTTTTAAATCATTATTAATTCAGGATAGCTGTAAGTGGGTGGTTGATTTCATGGTAAGCTGGAATCAGTCTTATATGTACATCTGTGTGTTTGCAAGTTACACATACATATAAACACACGTGTGCACTTTTTTTTCTGTTGTGAAAAGACAAAGATATTTAAGTAAGTAAATGTAAAAAACTCTTGAAAGTGCACCATTTCCCTAAAAAAGTAGAATAGTTTACCTCTGACTTGCCAGCACTTTATACACAAAAGGAATTTATTGTGATTAGTTGAAAAGATCAGAAACAGAGCTATGATTTGAGCAGGTCTTTCATTTTTTAAGTAGTGCTTGATAGCACAATGAAAAACAGTACTTTTACAACATACATGGGGCTTTTGAACACATCCTGTATTGAGCCTGCCTATGCTGGTGACAAAGAATTTGTTTTCTTCTGGTGCTTCTACACACCTGGAACAGCAGCAGGAGAGAGATGCATTTTATTGTATTTTGTGCAGCATGAGCAGAGTCAAGTTCTGAATGTCAAGTGCTGAATGCACTGACATTATAGTTGGCTGATACATAACGCAGAAATGTAGTACTAAACTTTATATTCTAGCCCAGATTCCTGGACTGTTAAAGATGTGGATGAAATCATTGTATGGTGCAAGTCAGTCATTAATTCAGCAGGGCCAAGATTTCATTTACACATATCCTGGAAGTAAGCCATTTTTTTGCCTTTAAGAAGGAGCATGTTCAGAACTGCACTTGTGTGGGTGTTTTGTTTATCTTTCCAGAGCACACCCACATGCTTGTCCTCCCATAATCAGCTTAAAACTGCAATTTAGCTTTTGTCTCCATTATCAGTGACGCACAGTACTTGAGGATTGTATTGTCAGTGACTCCCAGCATCATCTGCCTACCTCAGCTTCTGCTAAGAGCAGCAAGTTGGCGCTGGTCACTTTTTCTTCTCTGTACCTTCATATTAATGAGGAATTTGACTCATGACTTGATGACTTATGCCCACATGGGGTAAGGATTTTGTAGCAGTACCACTTCAGAGTTCATTTTTGGGTGCTGCTTGAGGTGAAGCACTGCCATGCTTCTGAGAAAATCAGAAGTGTAAGTATTCTGTTGAGATTTGCTGAAGTGCAGTTGACCCACGAAGCAAAAGATCGTTAATTACAGACTTTTAAATTTGCTTCTAGGAGTTATTTCCGTACTTGAATTTAAGGATCATTTTGTCATTGGATCTATGCAACCCAAACTCATAACTCTTCAGAGAGAGCAAACTTAAAGAAATTGAAAGCCAAATCAATTTCATTAATTTTGAAATAGGAATAGTTATTTACAAGCAGTATTTTTGTACATTTGTACTCAAGTACACCTGCTACTTGAGTTTTTAAATCTCTTCTAATAAAGTATTTGACATGACAGTTTGGGTCTGTTTGTATGCTGTTTGCAATTACAGCCACTTGGGACTCAGAAGAGTTGATAATTTCAGTTGGATTCATTTATTTCCTTGTTTCCATTCACAGGATGCTCTGGCCCACTAGGAATAGAAGGAGGAATTGTGTCAAACCAACAAATTACTGCATCATCCACTCATCGGGCTCTTTTCGGACTCCAGAAGTGGTACCCATACTATGCACGGCTTAATAAGAAGGGTCTTGTGAATGCTTGGACTGCTGCAGAAAATGACAGATGGCCATGGATTCAGGTAACAGATGGAGCTGAGGAGGAAAAAAATCCCCTTGATTCAGTTGCCAGAGTCACTTAAGAAACTGATGGAGACAAGTGGTAAACTAACAGCTAGCTTCTTATTCACTGTAAAAAAAAGAGGCCCAGACTAAAAGGCACCATTAGTTGCAAAACAGTAATAATCTTGACTTCACAAATGCACAAATCTTTATATCTAAAAAACGTGTTCATATGTTCCATTGTGGCTCTAAACTATGGAAACAAACTTAGAAAAAGCTGCTTTCCACATTATGTTACATTGCTTATTATTTCCTTAGTAGCATTTTGCAGCAATATCTCTTGGTAAGGATACTTTGACACATTCGGCTTTCCTTGGGCATTATTCTAGAGTGCTTTAATGTGGTTTTGGCTGTAACAGAGCTCAGAGGAATAATTTGTTGTCTCTGCAGACCTGCTCTGGGCACACAGGTTAAGCGTTGTGTGCATCATGCTGTAAGTAACAAGAACTGTTTTCATTAAAGTTGAAATAGCTATTAGTTCAGCTTCATCCATGGGGCTGAAAATATGTGGGTTTTTTCCCACTCAAGGATGTTATGGCTAGAATGATTTAAATGGCAGTGCTTCTGTTCTGGACTGGATTTCTCTGCACCTAGCAAATGACTTCAGTTAAAGTCCTGAAGCAGTGAATATGAAATCCTATGCCTTTATTAAAATGATGATAATGATTTATCTAGTGATTGTTGCAGCTTTTTATGTTTATGGTGTTTTCTTCTCATGTTATGTGAATTGGGCTAAGCTTTGGCATTTTCAGATGTTAGATGCTTAGAATCATAGAATAGTTAGGGTTGGAAAGGACCTTAAGATCACCTACTTCCAAACCCCCTGCCATGGGCAAGACACCTCACACTAAACCATGTCACCCAGGGCTCTGTCCAACCTGGTCTTGAACACTGCCAGAGATGCAGGATTCACAGCTTCCTTGGGCTACCCATTCCAGTGCCTCGCCACTGTCGCAGTAAAGAACTTCCTCCTTATAGCCCATCTAAACTTCCCCTGTTTAAGTTTTAACCCGTTACCCCTTGTCCTATCGCTACAGTCCCTAATGAAGAGTCCCTTCCCATCATCTTTATAAGCCCCCTTCAGACACTGGAAGGCTGCTATGAGGTCTCCATGCAGCCTTCTCTTCTCCAGGATGAACAGCCCCAACTTTCTCAGCCTGTCTTCATACAGGAGGTGCTCCAGTGCCCTGATCATCTCATGGCCCTCCTCTGGACTTGTTCCAACAGTTCCATGTCCTTTTTATGTTGAGGACACCAGAACTGCACACAATACTCCAAGTGAGGTCTCACGAGAGCAGAGGGGCAGGATGACCTCCTTCAACCTGCTGGTCATGCTCCTTTTGATGCAGCCCAGGATACAGTTGGCTTTCTGGGCTGCAAGCGCACACTGAAGCCGGCTCATGTTCAATTTCTCATCAACCAACACCCCCACGTCCTTCTCCGCAGGGCTGCTCTGAATCTCTTCTCTGCCCAACCTGTGGCAGTGCCTGGGATTGCCCCGACCCAGGTGTAGGACTTTGCACTTGGCATGGTTAAACTTCATAAGGTTGGCATCAGCCCACCTTACAAGCGTGTCAAGGTCCCTCTGCATGGCATTGTTTTCCCACATAGTTTGTCATTGTAGTCAACATCTTTTGCCAGTATGGTCAGTAAGTGAAGAGGGTGCTTCCCTCCCGCCACAGGAGTAGGAAAAGATGGTACCTGAGCATAGTGTCTATGAGGTCTAAGCTGAACTGTCCATATGTCCCTCAGGTGTGTCTTCTTGAAGTTACCTTTGTGTACATGGCATCATTTTTTGCTCATACTCAAGTTTTTTGTACTGAATACTGTTTGTAATTTTTCTAAGCAGTTCCCAGACATATGGGTAGAAAGCATGCAGGGTTACGTGTTCATTTTTGTTTTTTGGAGAGCAGGCACAAACCACTGCTTGATGAAGTTCTCTGAAACTGGTGTGGTGAAAGTGCTGAATTTTGTCGGTTCTGAAAAATTAAACTGGTATGACTGTTTGTTATTCACTGCAGGGTGAAAACACGAAGGCCCTCTAATGTATCTTAGGTCAGTTTTCTTCCATAAAGACCAGAGGGGTTAGGAATTCTCCAAAATTTATACAGTGGAAAAAGAATGAGAAAGAATAATGCTAAGGGACTTCCACAGAATTATTTTCACAAGAGGAGGAAGCTAATGTAACATTAATGGGTAATGAAAAAGTCAGTGTTGCAATAGCTTTTGGACTGCTTTAGGGTGTGGGCATTATTAGATAAGCTGCAGAAAAAAATCAAAATCATTTAGCATTGGCCCCCTAGACATGTCTTTACTAGGAGATGAACTGGATGAGGATAGCTAATGGTATGTTGCTTCCATGTTTGTACTTGGCACCATGGAGGCACCTATCAGGCGGCTGTGCAGGTTCTACCCAGACCAGAGCAGTGTTTGCCTTGGACTTGGCTCCCAGGGAAGTTTTCCCTTTGCTCTTACCTGGAAGGCAAGTTGGAGAAAATGTGTCCACAAATTTCAGCCCATGGCACTAGGTTTGAACACTTTGTTCTTTTTTGGAGTTAACGACCTAATCTAGGAAGTGCCATTCCCATGCAGGTTATTCTGTAGTTTTGACAGCTATAGTATGTAAGGACTTTCTAGAAGCTGATTAATTGATATGATTAATTTGTATTGAGCGCATAGCAGTCCTTTCTTTTCCTTCTAATTTTTCTTTTAAAATAAACTGGACTATAATTTTCACAAAACTTGCTGAGTTTATTTTCTTTTTCAGTTCACAGCAAAAATAAAAAATACTTGTCATAATTTAAAACCAGAAATTTAAATCTTGAGAGGATTTTTATTTTTTTCTTTTTAATTTTCTGAAGACTTTTATTCCTAAAAAAATCTGGGAGCAGAAAAGCTAGAATTTTTCAGGGAGATGATACTTTTAGAGAAAAAAGCACTTTTTAGCATTCTGCAGAAGCCCTGTTTTGATTTGGCAAGTATATAGACCTGCACAGACTCACACTTTCTGCATTGCGTAGTAGTTCCTTACATCAGAGAGCTGTCTTGTTCTTCAAGCATGAAATACACAGACAGTGCCTGACCTTTGTATGGGGGAACAGTTTCTGCTGGGAGAAGAGGAGAAGCAGAAATCCCATATCTTATTTTTGAACAGCTTCTGTAATGGCCAGGGAGATAGTTCAGAAGCATTCGCAGAGTTACAAAAAGTCACTCTGATCTGTGCTAGGTTCCAGGCTACATTCCTTCTGGTCTTTTGGGAGAAATGTTCCCTCTAGCAATAGCCTAGCCTGAGTTTTTACTTTATCATATCACCAGCCTGTTCCTAGATCCTAACTTGAGGATTGTGTATGGGACCTTTTCCATGTTGGTCTGAGTGATGAAGCCACGGGTCCAAAAGATGGGTCCTGAAAAATGGTGTGAAGGTTTGGCAAAGATTAAGTGGAAAGTTCCAAATTTTTAGGACATGGAAATTAACATTTAGCACAGTCAACCTGAAGCAGCAGCTTGTTGCCCTCTTACAATTTCTAATACGAGATAAATTCTAAAGGAAGCTGTGTATAATGGGCAAAGTCCCACAGAGTATAATTATGTACAGGTCTGTAGCTATTTTTGACTTGTTCCATCATTATCAATTTTCTTTGTCATCTAATTTCTTTACTTATATGCATCTTGGCAAATGAAAGTTTTGAGTGCTTTGCTTATAACTCACTTGCAATGAATGCAGAGTTTTTTCTTTAATCTTTCAGGTGTCTGACACATCTGAACTAATTAGTATTCAATTTCATTTTCCCACAGTCGCTCAGTGAACTGAAAATTGAAATTGCCATTTTAAATTTACACTCTCAGCATGCAATTAGTAATGGCAGTACAATGCTTGTAATTGCCTTGTGATTTAAAGGGTCAGTGACCATGTTTTTGAAAGCAAATTAACGTCAGAGTAAGTCGTATCTGCCTTTTAAAGTTCTGCTGACCTCTGTTTCTCCTCAGGCTGGCTGTGAAAAATTAGCACCTATGTATACTGTTTACCACTTTATCGGTGACACTAAATTTTCATGTTTCCAAACAGGAGAAAAAAATCCCACACTTCTATTTTTCGTAATTGTTCCTGAGATTTAACTAAAATGCCTGTTGCTCGATATAATCCCTTTGCTTTGTTCTGGTAACAGGTCTTTTTTGTCAAACCTCTTTTTTTAAGAGAGGACTGGTTTCTCTTTTCCCTTTTGTCATTTTTCATTTATGGGTATATAACAACGTATTTATGGTGGAAATGTGCTTTTTCTCTTTATTCTGATTTCACTTCATCTCTGCTCCTTCCTTGTGCTTATGTATTTTTTTTCTATTCATATATATTTTGTCAAGATAATATGGATTAGAATAGATATGGCCAAGGGCAGGATTGATGTTTCTATTATCTCTCCACCATATCTGAAGTCATAGTAACTGAGAATCAGTAGCACAAACTGAACTGCTGGCAGGAGCAGGACCTTCTAAATGTTACTTCTCTCTAGTGATTTCTAACCTAGGTTAGCCATGCCTATACCCTTACGTTTCTTCTTCGCCCCCAGTTTCACCACCCAGACCTAAAATTTAACTTATTTTCCTCCTATTCATGACTCGTTTCCCTTTTGCTTCCATAATATATTATCCTCTTTTATATCACTGCAATTACTATTCCTGTAATACACAAAGACTGCAGACATGGTAAATATGCCAAAAATCCATAAACTGAAATGTCATGGAGAACACTATAACATATTATGTGTAAGAACACAAGATAGATAGAAAAATTTGTTATAACTAGCAATGCGAGGACAGGCATACAGTAACAAAGTCCTAAATCAAGTCATGCATTTAAGATGTGTAGTAATTTTGGAGAAAGGATGCATATTTAGGAGCTATGTTGAGGGATGAGAGAGCAAGGTGGGTGAATATTGTCCCATAAAATAATAGTCTTGCTTCT